ATTTCAACTTTTAATTTTATGGTATTGGATAAGGGGTACACCCATGATGGGTTACCCCAAGCGACGTGGGTGAGATGAAACTGCCAAATGTAGTTTCTCTCTAACTGCTGCCATATAAAAGGAAAACCTTTTCCTTTTAGAAACGTTACGAACACTGTTACTCTAAAAAACGAAAAGGAAAAGTACGCTCTCTCTCTCTCTAAAAAATTTGGAAAACAGAAATACATTCGTGGCTTTCTTCAAGATTACTTTATTGCTTCAGAGATAAGGAGTAGAGGTATTTATGCTGTGTAAATTCATTATAGTTCATTTATGTACAAATGTGATTGCAATGGTGACTATGATCTTGGGATAATGTTAGGATATATGTTATTCTATTTNCGTCTCCCCCACTACTCGAACCCAAGACCAAGGGGCTATAGTAATTTGAGAAGTATGGTGAGTACCATCAGGTTAGGGTTGATTTAGTCGCATTAGTATGCGATAAAATATTTCAATATGCAATAAAACATTCATGCTCATAAAATCTCATTTCCATATACACATCTTATAACATAAACCATTTTCCATAATCAATGTTAATATCTCTCATTGCAAGAACTTCTTTCTGAAAACTTTTATGGTAACCAATCAATACTCATGTTCTCTAAAGAAATCATTTTTAAAAACATTTCAAATACAGATAACATTTGCATTTATAAATTTCTATTTCAAATTCATGATATAGATATACATATCAAAATCTTCTCTCAATCACATGTGAAAACTTTCACCCAACTAGTACTCATGGGTAAATTCGTCCAACCCAACAAGATCTAACATCGTTGGATTGAAGGCTTGAGCGGTGACTGATTCTGCCTAGCAGATTTTCTTTAGAGGCATTGTCTGACTGCATAAGCAGACATTCCCTTGAGGAGGGTCCCTTCTTTTTTTTTTGTTTGGAGTTTTAGATATCTTTAAACCAATGCTATTGCAGGAAAGGGTGGAACATAACCAGAGTAGGGAGAATTTTCCTTGGAAATTGTCCGATTCAGCATACTAGCCCTCTCGCAGTTGCTGTTTCTTTTAGAAGCCTTGGTTTTCGCTCTAATTAAAAGATAGTGACAAATTAAGCTGATATCAAAGGAAAACATCTTAAACGAGTCTGCGGAAGGAGAGAAGGAACAAGGATTTTCACCATAAGCTTGATCTTGAGCAAATCTTCACTAGCTCAAAAGTCACATGCCACAGACGCTTTGTTCTGCCTCCACTGTCATTTGAAACTATAAAATCATATTATGGCAAGAGAATCATGATTCCATAAGGTAAGATTTCTGTCGGCCGAAATATCCACTTTCATTGTCATCTCAAATTTACCCCTTTGATATCAAGATGCCGGAGATTGATCAAATTTCCCAAAGGAGTAATTTCTTGATTCTTGTACACCATGCATCCTAATATCAAAACCTCTAAGTTCATTAATGAATTTGTTGACTTGGGTAGGCTTGTAATCTCGGTCTGTGAAAGGTTAAGGTACCTGTAACTGTAAACTCTCAAATCTCCAGTTGAATCAGGTAGCTCAATGATATATCGATTTCTTAAAGACAACACCCTCAATGTTTTGAACTTTGGCGACAATTTTACAAGAACTATGGTAGTTTTGCAATCACAGCTTCGTGGAATGCTTCAAATATGGTTTTGATTTGCAAAATTGTCCTTAACTTCGTGGCTTCATGGAATGCTTCACATTTATTTGCCACATTATCCTTACCACACGTGTAAGATAAATGACAAATCTTTTAAAATAATTTTTAACCCTAAAATTAATATAAACCAACTACAAGTGAAAAATACATTTAATAATTTTTTTTTCTTTTTTTTTAGGGGGGAGGGGGGGATTGGGGGGTGTTTGGGCCAGCTTGTGTGCACCTCAACTAATCCCTTGGGGCCTTGAAGTTGACAGCAGGGTAAATCCCCTTATTGGCCACTCCTATTAATAACTCAAAGTGGATTGAACTCAACATCTCTTGAGTAATACATTCAAGAGTCCTAATTGACCGTGGGATATTATAGGATGCGTTTGGTTCATTATTTTGGATAGAATTTTGGGAATAATATTGGGTAGTTGAATAAGGGAGTATTACGAGGTAAAATTTAAAAATTTATAAAAATACTCCTAGGTTTGTTAATTTAATTAAACATCCCAAGATATAAAATGACAAAAACACCCCCACCGCCCGTAATGCCAGATTCCGGCCACCACCATCAGAATCTGGCCGAAAAATTGCGTTACGACACAACCGGTCGGATTTGTGTCGTAACGCGTCGATATGGCTTTTTCCAACCAGATCCACTACCGATCTGGCCGAAAAAGGCCAGATCTACGGCCAAATGTGGTCGTTGATGGCCGAAAAACCCCAAAGAAATCCATCTTTGGCCATCAGTGATGACCAAAGATATGACCATCGTTTTTGGTCAACGATGGCTATTTCTTTGGCCGTCGTTGACAGTCAGAGCTGACCTTTTTCAGCCAGATCCACTATGGATCTGGCCGAAAAAGGCCAGATCAGTCAACTACCAGCAAGTTCTAATCGTGGTGTAGGCCGTTGTACAGATTTCGGCTACCACCGATGGTGGTTGCCGGAATTTGGCAAGTCGGTGGTTGCCGGAATTTGGCAAGTATGGGTTGATGGGGGTGTTTTTGCTCATTTTTAAACTTTTTTTCTAGGGGTATTTAGTGAAATTAATAAACTTAAGGGATCTAAAAATAATTAAAAAAATACACTAATATTTCTGGAATAATGTGCCAAACAATATTTGAGGAATAGGATTGTGAATATGGGTAGAAATATTGAACAAAACGCAGCCATAGTCTTTTCGTGATTTTATCCCTATCAGGTAACAAAGTGTATATTATAACACATTCAAACAACCATAGAGTAAATTAATCATTCATTTGTATCAAAATTGTCACTATAAAACTGTTTGTAGGAGGCCTGGATATATAAGCTTCGGAGGCAGAAGAGAGTACTGTGTTAGACCTTACCAAAAATGATCACATGGAATAAGGTCCATGTTTGAACAGAAAAATTGGCATTACAAACTCAAAATACAAGATTGAATTTGAGAGAGAACAATCTGATCATCAACTGCCTAAAGCAGCAATACAGAAAGACGAAAAGTCCCGAAACTCAACTGATCCCTTTCTACTTGACATTGTCATTAGTCATCTCCTAAACAAAAAAATAAAATAAAATAAAAAATACCAAACCACATTTTACATAGACATTAGACACAAGTAATTATGATAGTGCCCAAATGGCAGTGGAGACTTAGTCGACCGACAGCAGACTTGTGGTATGAAGCTGCTATTTCTGGGAGACATCAACGAATTAGAGCTCCAAAACCTGCTGAGGAGTGCGTCAGTTTGCTTCAGTCTTTGATCTCTGTTGTAATTTTTGTTACTCATTGAAGTCCTGATTTTCATCCAAAAGAAAAAGAAGATCAATTATGTGGAGATTGAAGTCAATAATCCCGGTGTAACATAGTAATCAGTAAACAGTGTGTACTATGAATAAGGTTACTAACCACAGGCTTGAACATATCTTTAACCAGCTCCTGATTCACAGTCTTTCAGAGGTTTGGCCTCAACAAGGATATGCAGAGGTTCATCCCGTCCTCTGAAAAAAAATCAAAAGAATGACATATCAATTAATAAAGAAGACAAAATGCTGGGAAAACAAAGTAAATAAATTGCGTAAGGGGAGAAGGAACACTATGACAGAGGATCATAAATTACATACACCAATGTAAATCAATTCAATTCAGAAAAATAAAAATGAAAAATGAAAAACTAGGCGCTGCAACATTGGACTTCGGGTAATATATAGGTAAACAAGCAAGCAAGAATTTGCTCAAGAAGAAACTCACCATTCAGATTGCAATGTTGATAGACTATAATGCCCTAGGGAGTGTAACATAATAAACTCTCACCTGTGCTAAGAATTTGAAATGTTTCTTCTGAAACAAACAGACGGATCAGGTGTTATAAACATAAACATAAACATAATTAACACTATGCTTATCATAAACATGGATATCAGGGATGCGGGCTAAATAAACAATGAAACTAACTTACTGAAGGAATTAGTGCTGGGAATACACAGTAGATAAGTTTGCATTCGGAGAGAAGGAAATCTTCAAGTAGTATACAAGTAGCATGCGTACAGAGATTCTGCCTCAACTATTTCAACTGGTACTTCTACACAAAATGGATGTTCACAGTCTCATTATGATGCGTATAGCCCGGTTTTCTTCCTGCAAATTCACTCTGTAAGAAATGACAGGATAGCAAATTAAAATTGATGTTCATATGACAAGAAGCAGGGGTGGAGCCAAAAAAAAATTTTGGGGGTTAAAGTGTCATCTTCAACGAAGAAAGGCGTTTAAAGTATAAAAATAAATTTAGAAAGCTGATATGTGGAGGTTTTCTTCCTGTTATTTTGTTCCTTAGGAAACAAACAATGCAACAATTTAACGTTGTGTGTTCAAGAGACAAGAGGAAACAGATAATACTGACTACTGCCCAAATTACATATCAGCATATTCTAATACAATGTTTTTAATGAGCTATGAACATTAATATAGTGATAACTTTTACTTTAACCAAAGAAAAACAGAGGATTAAAATGTCAAGCAATTTGATAATCAAGTAAAAGAAGCAGCAATTTGAGGCAGGGTATGATAATGTTTACCATTGTGATTGATTGGAGTTGGGAGTTCAGATATTCCTGCATGTGGAAGTGGAACACAATAAACACCCAGTTGTTACATAATTAAAGCTTATCTATTTATTGTTAAGGTAAACAGGATTTAGGTGTTCTACTTCACATACCTCAAGAGCTAATTCTTTGGATTTTGAGACTACGTAGAGCTTGTTCTTCCTTCCTTTTCTACATCTTTACAAAATTCTGATTTCATGGATATGGGCAATCTTCGACCACTCTTGTCCTTCATCCTTCTTACACTGTTCTTTTAACAGGCCGCAATCCAAAATCCTTAATATCGAAAGTGAGGATGGGAGGCCCTCCTCTGGAAAGGATGTCAGATATGGGCAACCAGAGATCTCTAAATGTTGAAGAGAGGTGAGATTTTGAAAAGCTTGGGAAGATAGGTATTTTAATTTTGGGAATTGACGAATGAAAAGCTGTGTTAAAGAGGGCGGTAACATCCTTTCCTTTGGAAAAGATTCTGCATCTGAGACTTCATTAGTCGAGTGAGAGGTAAGAAAGGGCTTGTACAATCCCCACTCAATCCAGAGGTATTTAAGAGAGGTGAGCTTGTGCAATCTCCACTCCATCAGTGGCTTACAGATATTCGGACCTCCAACTGTAAGTGATGTGAGGCTGGTGGGGAGACCTTCTTCTGGAAATGTTATTCTTGGACAATGGGATATCGTCAACGTTTGAAGAGAGTTGAGGGTGTGGATGCCATTGGGAAGAGCTTTAAGATTCCCACAACCAGATATATAGACTTCTCGGATTGTGCTAGGAAGCCTTTCATCAGGGAAGGACAAAAGACTATCACATCTATATATGGAAATCTTACGAAGAAAATTAAGATTGTGTAAACCCTCTGGTAGGGATTTAAGATTATAACAAATGTCCATACAACTATCTTGGAGAGCCAAGTTTTTCTGGAACCTCTTCGCTATTAGCTCTAATTTTTCACAGTGAATAACCGTGAGGTATTTAAGTGCTTCAGTTGGTTGGTCTTCTAACAATAAGATGGGGAGATTTGGGCAAAGGGAGATCTTAATTTTTCTGAGTGCAGGTAAATGGCCCATTAATGATAAAGTAGAGAGACTTGAGCAATTGTCAATTTTGAGGCGCTTAAGTTTAGTAAGTGACAGACCTTTCGATGATAAACAAGCGAGAGATGAGCACATGCTGATGTCCAAGTCTTCTAGCTGAGACTGAGATATTCTAGTGCTGTCAATGTTCTCTCTGTGAATCACTGAAGAAGAAGATAGAGAAGAAGTGCCAACAACTTCTGTATCATCCAACAAACACTTCAATTTCTTACAACGATTTACAGATAGCTCTCTCAGAGATGAAGGTAGCTGACCTCTCACAATGCATGTCAAAGAATCACAATTGTAAATTTGTAAACTTTCAAGGTGCTCAAGCGTCTTAGGTGACTGACCTGTTGATGATAAACTCATGAGAGATGAGCAATTGGTGATCCTCAGATTAAGAAGCCGAGTGTCCATCAGTGAAGAAGAGGAAGATGAAGTGCCCACTTTTCTATCAGAAAACAGACATTGCAAATTGTGACAGCGATCAATCTCAAGTGTCTCCAGGGAAGTTAGAGACAATGACAAATCTCCAAGCCAATCTGGAAATTGTGTGCCACCATATCGTTCCACGCAGAGCTTCTTTAAATTTTTGTGAGGTCTTAATATATCAAGTACATTTTTCTGTACTTCCTCACTTTGACACGCTTTATCACCATTGCTACAATCCCAATCTAGCCATAATTCGTCTAACTTCTCCTTATCACATAATATCTCTTCTGGCGGAAATGAGGTAGCATTTTTTAATTTTGAAATATGAAGCTTTCCACTAAGAAACTTGAAGTTACTTAAAACATTCAAACTGGATCTAATATCTTTGCCCACAACAAAATTAGATAATGTTCGAAGATTCTTCCAATTTTCCATTCCCAGTGGCATGTCTGTTAAATTTACTCCTTGGATATTAAGATGGCGTAGATTGACCAAATTTCCCATAGGAGGTAATTTTTTGATTGATTGACGCCATCTTAATTGTAAAACCTCTAAGTTGATTAAGGAATTTGTTGATTCAGGTAGGCTTGTAATCATGGTGTCTGAAAGACTAAGGTACCTCAAATGTTTCAAATCTCCAATTGTATCAGGTAAACTAACTATCGTAGCACCCATTAGAGACAACACCCTCAATTTCTTGAATTTTGGCAAAAAATTTGGAAAATCTATACCAGATGCATGATAGTTGACTTCCAAGATTGTCCTCAAGTTCACAGCTTCAAGGAGTGCTTCAAATTTAGTCCTCACATTACACAGGTCAGTTCTCACATTAGACTGACCTTTGTAAGACAAGTGGCAAATCGACAAGTAGCGAATCTTTTTTAATACTTCTAATTGGTTGTTGATCCTTAATTCATCCTCCAATCTACAAATTGTATCTCCAGAAGCCCATTTTGCCAAATCATTAATAAGATCATGCATTACATAAGTAGAACGGAACATTTTGATTGATTTCTGGAAAAGTGATCTTGACAACAGATCTTGAAACAATTCAACGCCTACATCTTCTAATTCCATACTGTCTTTTGACTTTTGAATTAGACCTTCTGCCATCCACAAAAGGACAAGCTCCTCCTCTTCGAATTCATAATTCTTCGGAAAAATTGCACAATATGCAAAACATCTTTTAAGATGGGAAGGAAGATGGTGGTAGCTTAATTTTAACGCCGCAGGAATCTCACTCTGCTTACTTGAGTACAATGTATCTTCCCATATTTTACTGTCTAAAATAGTTTCCCACTTACTTTCTCTTGGCTCAGAACGTAGAAGGCCACCAAGAGTCCTAGCAGCCAAGGGTAAGCCATTGCACTTCGAGGCAACTTTTTGACGAATATATTCCAAATTTGTAAATTTGGCAATATCTTTATTCTCGAATGCAAGTTTGGCGAACACGGACCAACACTCTCCTTCGGATAAGAGCTTCACATTATGACTTTCAATGGATCCAGTCATTGTTGACACAACTTTGAGGTTGCGTGTTGTAACAATTATCCTACTCCCCGGTGCTCCTGCCATGAAGGGAGCTTTTAGGATTTCCCAGTTATGATGATTTTCATTCCAGACATCATCCAGGACAAGCAAGAATTTTTTGCCAGCTACTAGAGATCTCAGTTTAACTTGTAGTTGGTTAAAAGTCTCCGCATCGGAAGACTTGGAAGTTATCTCTGCCAAAATTGCCCTGCAGATCTTTTCATCATCAAAATGGTCATGATCAGAAACAGAAACCCATACTTTTGGGTCAAAATCTTTCACTGCCTTGTCATTGAACACTTCGCGAGCAAGTGTTGTTTTGCCAATTCCTCCCATTCCGACAATGGGTACTACACGAAAGTTGTCATCACTTGGTTTATCCTTCGAAATCATTTCAAGTATTTTGGCTTTATCATCATCTCTACCAATAACAGCAGGTTCGTGTTGCAAAGATGTGGTTGGTCGTCTTTGCGGCACAGCAGTTGATGTCCCTCCAGCAATCTCTTTCAACCCAAGACGATCTCTTCGTTCACAAAGATCTTCCAGGAGGTGATTTACCTCTTCTATCTCCGACTTTATGTGATGGTTGGACATCAAAGAAGAGAAATAATCAGTCAAGATGTCCGTGGGCTGGTCTGCAGTCATCAATTTGCGCTCTTCAAGTTGAGTGGCATATTTATCCAGAATATCATCTACATCATAAGCCAATTGTTGCAGATCATCCAACCACATTTTCACTGCCTTGTTGGTTAGTTGCTTCTCTTCTGCGTCGTTAAGTACTGCTTGAATCATCGGTAACTTTTCCCTCCACTGCTTTATCACTGAATCTATCCCATATCCACTGAGAAAGGACAGCATCCTAGGATTCACCAATCTGTCGAAAAGCACCCCGAGGAATGCACCCACAGCGGCCACAACGACTTCATTCATTGGCATGATTCTGGCTGAGTCACAAAGAAGCAACAGGCAAGAGAGAGTGACAATATCAACAAAACTGTCAAAAAAACTTATAATACCAACCAAATTCATATAGATTTAATTGTTTAACTGCAACCAAATTCATTTTCGAAAGTAAAAACATCGAACACAACAATGATCTACCATCAATTTCTTGGTGCAACAGCAGTAGACCTTACAATCATCTGATTTCCTTTTAGTTCTTAGGTACTGATTTAACTAAATTCTATTCTTGAGTAATATGATCTATCTAATTTAAGTCAAACACAAAGATAAAGAAAAATAATCCGCCAGAAAGATAAAGATCTAAAACTAAAGATCTCACAAGTTGCTAATAAACATGCATACATCAAAAGAGCAAATTAACACTTTTAATCTACGTACCTGAACACTGCAGAAATTAAGTGCCGAAAGTTTGAGAGTCAATGAGAGAAGAGTATGAGAGAGTAGGTGAGAGTATTCATACAAACAATTTGTGGTAAGTTAAAATAATGACACTTGCATTTTAAAAAAGATTTTAATTGAAAATAAAATAACGACTCCATTGACGTTTAGGTTTTGGAAATTAATTATCTAATATTAAATAATTAGAGTAAATTAATCATTTTATTTGTATCAAAATTGTCACTACAAAGCTGCTTGTAGTAGACCTACATATATAAGCTTTGGAGACAGAAGAGAGTACTGCGTTAGACCTTACCAAAAATGATCACATGGAATATGGTCCATATTTGAACAGCAAAAGTATGCTTTCTTGATTTTAAATAACAAAATGAACTGCTTATGTTAGAGCTCAAAATGTAAGATAGGAAGAAGGGAAGGAGAGCAACTACATTCATAACAGAGATGGCAAAAACTCCCATTAACGGATCGAAATACCATAAAATTAATTATATTACCTTATTCATAACGGAGGAAGCAAATATTTACAACAGGTAATGGAAATTTAAGTTGGCATTACAAGCTCAGAATAGGCTCAAAATACAAGATTGAATTGGAGAGGGAACAGTCTGATCATCAACTGCCTAAAGCAGCAATACAGAAAGACGAAAAGTCCCGAAACTCAACTGATCTCGTTCTACTTGACAGGCCCAAGTTTTTCATTATGGAAAATTTTGTAATTTTGTGTCTTAAGTGTGGAGTATTATTGAAATCTTGTAACTAAGCATATAAGCATGAGGAAGCTTTAAGTTAGCAAGCATTGAACAAGGTTCCACATTACAAAAGTGAGCAAGAACACTAAACACAAAAGAGGTTTTTGAGATTAAGTGATTGAGATTTTAGAGTGCGAGAAATTAAGATTGTAAATTAAGATTCATTAAGTCATGTAAGGTTAGTTTGAAGAAAAATAATAAAGAATGACTCCATTTTTAGTCTTCGTGAATTGGAAAATATATAAAAGTCAAGTCATATGAAGCCAAGCAAATCAAGACAACTCTTTACATTAATAAATGTGAATGGTAGGTGGTGTTTATTTAATTTGGTTCAATTAATCTGATGAGCTTGTTTGATTCTTCCTCAAAATAATAACTAATTAAAACCGCGTATGAACTTTTGATCACAGTTTGGTCTTTGTTCATAATCTGTTCACAGTAACAAATTAATGGTTGCCTCTGACCAAGAACCAAGAACAAATCAAGTTACATCAATGTAGTGGCTAGCCCATTTTGCAAATTCTATTGTGGGTCCAATTCTGGCTCTGAGCCTCCTTGAAGGTGCTTTGTTTTTGGGCCTATTGAGGTTAAGGACATTTTTTGGCCTTAACACAGACTTAATAATAAAGCTAAACCACCCTTTCCAGCTTAATCACATACACAACCACACTCTACAGGTTAGGTTGTTCTTATTGAGTTGAAGGCTCAACACCTATCCTCTTGTGGAGGGATGAACCTGAACCAGACATAGGAGAATCTTTGTTAGGATCAGGGAATGTAGCATTTAGCAACTTTAGCTGTCACGCCCCCCCTCGGATATCCCCATCCCACTGGATCCGGGTGCTACAGGAGACCCAGGATTTGGAGAGGAACGTGAATATTTCGAAAACATTTCATAAAAAACAAATCCTTTTATAGATGTAAATGAAAAGTACTAAAACTGCATATTTAATACATTTATACAAAAATAGCTTTTAATTTTGAAAACGTGCATGTGAAATCTATTTGCATGCCACACAAACACCAATTCACTCGCATGATAAGGCAATAATCACCATATAATATTTTGGGATGCCATGGAATATCACATACTACTATCATATAAAATAAATCAATCATTACCACTATACTAGAACCTAGGGACCTAGGTCATAACTCACACGAATCGGTCCCAAATATAGACATGAAGTTACACCACCCATAGTTTACCCTCAGGGTGTCATAATATGGTATCAAATATAATCTCACCCACAGTTTGCCTTCTGGGCCTTAAAATCCCACACCGGCCAATACTTGCCTGGAGCTCATCAAGCGTCTGTCCTGTCCCGGTAAGATATCACAATCATTTGGTAGGCTAAGTATACTGCTAGCTAATGTTTGAAAGGGGATGAGTACTATAAAAGATGGTATCTATCAAAAAGATAAAACGCATCCACACATACATCGCATCTGAATGTCCAAACACATAATGAATCATGAATGCCTTCATGCAAATACATATAAGTCATAATATCATATAATACTTGCTCTCGTTAAAACAGGCATGCAACATATGAATGCAATGCTTGAAACATCATAATTAATGATCATGCAGAATCACCATTTACCCCTATATATTTCATTTATATCAGTCACAAACTTTAAAACTCTTATTAGCTCCTTGGACTATTAAATCCTTGTCAACCCGTATACTTTTAAACCTTTACGGTCAATTATCTGTATGTTTAAACTCTTCCGTCAATTCCCTATATTTCTAAATCCTCACAGTCAACTCCCTTGACTGCAGGTAAGGGTTTCAAAACTGACAATGTCCTCCCCAGATTTCCTGCAGCAGCAAAACAAAATTATAGATTCCACTCTTAAGTTAATACCGTTTCCTTTGTTTTAACAATAGAAGGTTAAAGTGGTCATTTACTATTTTTATTTTCTGCAAATCTCTCTCACAGTCTCACTTACTACCGCCTCTTCTTTTTCATCTACCTTTTTCTTCTGAGTGGGTATTTTCTGGGCATTCTTCTTCTTCTTCTTCTTTGGCTAAAATGTGCCAGACTTCATTTTCTGCAAAAACCATCTCTCTACCCACTGCCGCCTCTTCTTTTCTTCTACCCATTCTTCTGCATACAAATGCACCCATTTTCCTAATTCAAGCGCCGCAAGTCGCGAAATTGCAGGAAGAACACTAACAAAATTCACATAATTCGGATGCACATCTCCCATTTGTTTCTCGTGAAACATCTCTATTGCCTCCCTAAATTTCCCATTTTGTGCATTCCCAGATATCATAGCATTCCACGAAACCACACTTCTTTGAGGCATTTAATCAAATCCAAATTTCACAATTAACCCATGAACCTGTTTTCATTCTAAAAGCCTCCTCATTTTAGCGCTGGCTTTTAACATAGAAGGAAATGTATACTTATTGGGTAACACAAACCGCTCACAAATCATTTGATAAAATAACAACAAGGCATGTAGAGCTTCAACATCATTACTCTCACTGAAGGCTCTTATAAGAGTGTTATAAACAAAGCAATTGGGTTCACGCGTTTGGTTAAAAACCTTAAGGGCGTAATCTAAGTCACGGCGGTCGGAGAGAGAGCAGAAGCGAAGAATCTTGGCGGCCGCAAGTGGGTCGGGGATTGGGGCAGTCTTAAGTAAATTTTCTGTTTAAACCATTCTAAACTTTATATATGTGGGTTAGCAAAGCTTAAAATAATTTTACGTTCCAACAGTGCTTTAAGTGCTCATATCTCTTTGATATATACAGGTATGTAATACTGATTGTCTTCTAAGAAGTATTCGTTTTTTTTTTTTTCATCTCTTGTAGATGAGGACTCAAATGGTGCGATTGATCAGGAAGAGCTTAAGAAGTGTTTTCTTAAGCTTGAAATAAAATTTACAGAGGAGGAAACCAATGATCTCTTTGAGGCCTGTGATAATAATGAGGATATGGGAATGAAGTTCAAGGAGTTCATTGTACTTCTCTGCCTTGTGTATCTTCTGAAGGATGATCCAACTGCTCTTCATGCTGTATCCAATCACACCACTTAAAATTCAGCATATTTCATTTTTTAAGCCAGCAGTTTTTCTTGTTAAACATCATCCTCAGTCGTATTTTGTAGAAGTGTCCTTCGAGAAACTAGTTTGATTGATTACACTATGTGCCATATACAGTATTGCCCTTATGTAGAGGGCTCTCCTTATTTTTGTGTTCCTTAACATTGCTAGAAATCACGAATGGGTATGCCGAAGTTGGAGGCAACTTTTGAAACCTTGGTTGATGCATTTGTATTCTTGGACAAGAACAAGGATGGTTATGTCAGTAGAAATGAGATGGCTCAAGCCATAAATGAATCAGGGGAACGCTCTTCGGGACGAATAGTCATGAAAAGATTCGGTCAGTTTTTTCCCTTTCTTACAACATTCTAAAAAATTGATACCTCCATGTTTCAAGAAATATATTTCACCTCTATAACAAGTGCCCTGCTTTCACTGTGGATGCGGATTTCTCCGTGCAGGAAGACCTTTATGCTCTTCTATGTGCATGCATTTGAAAAGATTTGCTCAACATTATTATGGGTCGATGAGTTTTGTTGGTCATAGTAGATATTTCTAATTGCTAATGTTCTTCCCGCTTTACTATTGTAGAGGAGATGGACTGGGATAAAAATGGAATGGTGAACTTCAAGGAATTTCTGTTTGCATTCACTAATTGGGTTGGAATCGATGATGAGGAAGAGGGTGAAGAGAAGGTTTAAACCAATCCATTTTAGTTCCCAGTTGTTGCTGTCTACAATTGCTAGTAGCTAAAGCTTTTCAGAGAGGTGAAGTTCCACCATGAAGTCCTGCCTACTCTTTCGGGTAAATGGTAATGGGCGAGGAGATATAAGGATGTAGAAATAAATGGAGTTTAGTTTGTTGAATTTGTATACTCTCGTCACGGTTCTACTATCCTAAAGACATATATCATTACATACATGATATAGAAGAATATGCCTTTTATTGATAAATAAACATTTATTACAGAGTCAATTTTACAATAATTGATTTGCTCTAGAGTACCTACTTTAACAATCTCTCACTTGTACTATAACCAATCGTTCATATATTTAATACTGAATGACCTTCAGTGTTTTTCATGCTTTTGCTATTACAGAGGCTTCGTCAGTGGATTGGTGAGATTGTCATCAGCATGTACTTTACTGATCAGTACATCGTTCCTCTCAACCATTTTTCTGATGAGATGAAAACGTTTGAGTATGTGTTTAGACTTCTAAATAGTCTCACGTACACCACTTATATGCATCTTCAAATAATTTAAGAGGCTTCTGAAATGTCACACTTTTTTCTTTTCTTCCTTTGTAATAGAGATTATGTCAATTTTGGTAAAAAAGTTTACGACAGGCAATATTTTCATTTTCTGATCCTTAATATTGTTATTTTTTTTGAGGTTTATTTGAATAAAACTTAAACTGGGCAATCATCTGCATTGTTCATGACTTAAGTTGGGCAAAAGTCTCATATCAGTCAGCACCCTCATGTATGGTATTCCTATTGCCATCTCCTCAGATCACCAGCCGAATCAATAGATCAACCTATATTGCAGCTAATTTGCATGGTTGTAAGACAAAAATCCACAAATGTTTCATAATTTGCTAAAGATTTGATGCAAGATTGAAACTAAAGAAGCAAGTATGAGATATGATGAAGCAAAAGAAAACTAATTCATTTTTAATAGAAGATAGCAAAAATTGTTATTGCTAGCACTTGGGTAAATCATCGTTCATACTTCATACCTCCCTCTCTGACAGTTTGGGTACAAACCACAATTCAAATCCTTCACAACAATCCCCATCGTCGTATCATTAGAAAATATGATATGGAACTGCAGAAACTGACACAAGCTTCAAAAACGACTGAGAAGGTTTATTTCCCTGCTGGTCCTGCATCTCTTCCAACCAAGCGGGCACACAAACACACATGGGAAAACCTTCCTCAGAAATTGTACAACGTATAAGTCTTGGTTTTCGCCCTAAATAAAAAAGAGAGACAAAATAAGTAGACATTCAGGTAAAGATAGTAGACAAATTGGCGCAAGGAGAGAAGGAATAAGGATTCTCACCACAAGCTTGACTTTTGGGCAAATCTTCAACAACTCCAAGTCACATGCCACATATGTTCTGTTTTGCCTCAACTGTTTCAATCGGTAGTAGTACTGCATCGACAATGATATGTGGAGGTTTTCTTCTTGTTTTTTTGTTCCTTAGGAAACAAACAATGCAACAATTGAACATTGTGTGTTCAAGAGACAAGAGGAAACAGATAATACTGACTACTACCCAAATTACATATCAGCATATTCTAATACAATGTTTTTAATGAACTATGATCATTAAAACAAGTTAGTGATAACTTTTACTTTAACCAAAGAAAAACAGAGGATTAAAATGTCAAGCAATTCCATAATCAAGTAAAAGAAGCAGCAATTTGAGGCAGAGTATGATTATGTTTACCATTGTGATTGATTGGAGTTGGGAGTTCAGATTGTTGAAGTTTGAATCCTTTTGGTAGAAGAGGAAGACACGATGAAGAAGAAGAGCGAGGAAGAAGGCATGGCCAAAGAATTAGTTATTTTAGATAAAACTGAATTGCAGTAATTTTTAAATTATGAATTTGAATTTCTCTTAACTGCTAAGTGTAGTTATTTAGTTTTATCCCTTTAAAACTATAAAAAGGGAATATATTATGTATCGATTGAAGAAAATAAATAGATAATGTTTTCTTCCTCTTCCATAGTTACAACACAGATATTCCTGCATGTGGAACACAATAAATACCCAGTTGCTATGTAATTAAAGCTCATCTATTTATTGTTAAAGTAAACAGGATTTAGGTGTTCTACTTCACATACCTCAAGAGCTAATTCTTTGGATTTTGAGACTACGTAGAGCTTGTTCTTCCTCCCTTTTCTACATCTTTACAAAATTCTGATTCCAGGGATATGGGCAATCTTCGACCACTCTTGTCCTTCATTCTTCTTACACTTTTCTTTTAACAGACTGCAACGCACAATCGTTAACACCGAAAGTGAGGATGGGAGGCCCTCCTCTGGAAAGGATGTCAGATATGGGCAACCAGAGATCTCTAAATGTTGAAGAGAGGTGAGATTTTGAAAAGCTTGGGAAGATAGGTATTTTAATTTTGCGAATTCACAAATGACCAGACGTGTTAAAGAGGGCGGCAACATCCCTTCTTCTGGAAAAGATTCTGCATCTGAGCCTTCAATAGTCGAGTGAGAGGTAAGAAAGGGCCCGTGCCATCCCCACTCAATATTGAGGTATTTAAGAGAGGTGAGTTTGTGCAATCCCCACGCCATCAGTGGCTTCCAGATATTCGGTCCTACAACTGTAAGTGATGTGAGGTTGGTGGGCAGACCTTCTTCCGGAAATGTTATTCTTGGACAATGGGATATCGTCAATGTTTGAAGAGAGTTGAGGGTGTGGATGCCATTGGGGAGAGCTTTAAGATTCCCACAATCAGATATATTGACGTTTCGGATTGTGCTAGGAAGCCCTTCATCTGGGAAGGAAAAAAGACAATCACATTTAATTATGCGAAGAAAATTAAGATTGTGTAAACCCTCGGGTAGGGATTCAAGACTATCACAATCCATGATCTCCAAGTCTTCTAGCTGAGATATTCTAGCGTTGTCAATGTTCTCTCTGTGCATCGCTGAAGAAGAAGATAGAGAGGAAGTGCCAACATCTTCTGTGTTATCCGACAAACACTTCAATGTTGTACAATTCATTACTGATAGCTTTCTCAGAGATGAAGGTAGCTGACCTCTCACAATGCACGTCAAAGAATAGCAATTGTAAATTTTTAAACTTCCAACGTGCTCAAGCGTCTTAGGTAATTGACCTGTTGATGATAAACTCATGAGAGATGGGCAGTAGTCGATCATAAGATTTAAAAGCCAAGCGTCCATCAGTGAAGAAGCGGAAGATGAAGTGCCAACTTCTCTATCATAAAACAGATGACACAACCCGTCCCGAATTTCCTCATCCCGTAGGATCCGGGCGCTCCCATAAGACTTTGTTATCCGAGACGTGCCATGTAGAAAAACTGCGAAACCTGTTTAAAGACATACTTTTCCTGAATAACATCATAGTATTTCCATCTCCAACATCTCAAAAAAAGACATACATCATCTTTCGTTTTACAAAAGAAAAGAGTTAGGGAAACTTTTGGTATCAGGTTTTTCACTTATACTACACATTCCAAAATATGAAACAAAAGGAAATACATGATGGAAAACATGAGTTCTTGAAACGAAAGTCCAGATTTACAATGCGACATAAATATAAGACCCACATAAAAGATGTCAACGCGTGGCACAACCCTGAGCGGAGGCTCACTGCTCGGCACGATCTCCGGAAGGTCCTGGTGGGGGGAAAAACATTTAAAAAGGGGTGAGCTAAAAATACTCAGTGAGTGGGGAAAAAGGGGGAGGTTTATAAAAGTTCTTAAAAAAAGAATAATGCTAACATACAACAATTTTCAAGCAAATCATGGCAACAATGTAACTTTATGAATATGCAATAGAACAACCACCCCGTTCTCACATACAATATATAATTTATTTCTAATCATCCTGCACTCAATAAACTGTACTCTGACTTACTTCCTTTAACTGTATCGGATTCTGTATAAAACCTCAACATTTATTATTAAAACTCTCACCACAACTAGTACCCTGGGGGAAATCTGTCATACCTGGTGGGCGTCCCACACGCAGGCAGAGCGAGGGACGTACCTGTCATACCCGGCAAGGTCTATCATCGCGCGGGCAGAGCCTCAAAAACTGTCATACCTGGCGGACCACTCAACGCCCAGGCAGAGCCAATAAAATCTGTCATACGCATGCGCAGAGCCAAAATCTGAAACTGTCATACCCAGCGGAATCCTGCATCGCTCGGGCAGAGCCAAAAATCTGTATCTCTGGGGGATGGGTACTTCGTAGGGTGGTTTTAGCACCATAACAATCTCATGCATAATCTCAGTAACATATAAGTCAATAACACATTACCTATGCGCTTATAAATCATGCATATACGACATAATATTCAAAAATCACATATAGGGCTGAAAATGTAAACTGTAAAACATGTTTCAACAGAACACCAAATGCACCTTTATACACCTATATGTGTATATAAAAAAAAAAGAAAAGAGTTAATTATATGATAAAGTCTCATTCTAAATAAATATATATATTCCATTCAACAATTTAATAAGCCAACACCAACATTTCCCGTTACCAAACTCTGCATAATATGATTTTCTCCACCCTTCAACATAAGCCGAAACCCAACTCTCTCTATAGTGCCACCACACCCCAAATCAAGCAGCCATCAACATCAAATTTCATGAGACAGACATATACATATATTTAAATAACATGCAGCATGAAAGCTTATTAGTTTGGAACAAGATCTAATTCATTATCACCCAAAACTTTGCTCAGCCGAAACATGCAAGATAAGTTTTAGCAAATAAAACACTTAACTCAAGATTTTGCACCCAAAACATTATAATAGAAATAGATAACTTGACATGCAAACCGGAATTAAGTTTTTTTTTTAAAAACACTTTTTGGTTAAACCACTCACTCTTCTATCCTATAATTGGCTGCCTGTTACAGTGCTTAGATTTCGATCTCCACCGTTCAGAATGTAGAGCTGTGTTTCATGAACAACATATCCGAAAATCAGCACGATCGGACGGCGAATGAGCTCCAGATCACGATTTGATGATCCACTGTTCACAGACTTAAAACTAATAAACTCTCCCTTTCTCTTTGTTCTTCTCTCCTTCTCTCACTCTATCTCTCGGCCAAACCACTCTTTCTTCTCTTCTCTCCCTTTTTTTTTCTTTTCTTTTCTTTTCTTTCTCCTTTCTCTCCTCTCTTCTTTCTTTCTTCTCCTCTCGTTTTCTTCTTCTTCCTTTGGGCGAACTGCCCAGTTCTTTCCTTTAAATAAAAACAGTTTTTCTAAAATTATTTCTGCCCCCCATTTTTCTCTAATTTCCAGTTTAACCCAGCCACATAAGCTTTCCCTAGCAAAAATGTCCAAATTTTTCCCTCTTGATACATGCAAACCCATCAGGATTTATTTCTTCGATTTCACCCCCTTAACACAGCTTTAAAAACTGACAGAAATACCCCTATCTTACCACAATACCAAAAAAATCAAATTAATTAAAAAAAAAAAGAATTAATTAACTTAAATACAATTCATGATCTAACTAAAATCAAGAATGGGGTTTTACAACAGACATTGCAATTTCTTACAGTGATTAATCTTAATCGTCTCCAAGAAAGTTAAAGACGATGATAAATCTCCAAGCCAATCTGGAAACTGTGTGCCGACATATCCAGTGATGCCGAGACTTTTTAGATTTTTGTGAGGTCTTAATATATCAAGCACATTTTTCTGTACTTCCTCACTTGGACACTCATTGCTCCAATCCCAATCTAGCCATAACTTGTCTAACTTCTCCTTATCACATAATATTGCTTCTGGCGAAAATGAGGTAGCATTTTCTAATTTTGAAATACGAAGCTCTCCACGAAGACGCTTAAAGTTTTTTAAAACATCCAAACGAGAACTAATATCTTTGCCCACGACAAAATTAGATAATGTCCGAAGATTCTTCCAATTTTCCATTCCCAATGGCATCTCTATTAAATTTACTTCTTCGATATTAAGATGGCGTAGATTGATCAAATTTCCCATAGGAGGTAATTTTTTGATCAATGCACACCACCTTAGCTGCAAAACCTCTAAGTTGATTAATGAATTTGTTGACTCAGGTAGGCTTATAATAGCGGTGTTTGAAACACAGAGGTACCTCAAATGTTTCAAATCTCCAATTGTATCAGGCAAACTAATGACTTGAGGAGTATTCACCACATAATAATTACCCATTAGAGACAACACCCTCAATTTTTTGAACTTTGGCAAAAAAAAAGGAAAATCCATACCAGGTGCAACACAGTTGACGTCCAAGATTGTCCTCAAGTTCACAGCTTCATGGAGTGCTTCAATTTTAGTGTTAGACAAGCAGCGAGTCGACAAGTGGCGAATCTTTTTTAATGCTGCAGATTGGTTGTTGATCTTCGATTCATCCTCTAATCTAAAAATTGTATCTCTAGAAGCCCATTTTGCCATATCATTAACAAGATCATGCATTACATAAGTAAAGCGGAACGTAGTGCCTGATTTTTGAAAAAGTGATCTTGACAACAAATCTTGAAAAAATTCACCACCTACATCTTCTAATTCTATATTGTCTAGTGACTTTTGAATTAGACCTTCTGCCATCCACAAACGGACAAGCTCCTTCTCTTGAATGCATAATTCTTCGGAAAAATTGCACAATATGGAAAACATCTTTTAAGATGGGAAGGAAGATGGTGGTAGCTTAATTTTAACACCGTCGGAATCTCACTATGCTTACTTGAGTTCAACGTATCTTCCCATATTTTACTGTCTAAAATATCTTTCCACTTACTTTCTCTTGGCTCAGAAAATAGAAGGCCACCAAGAGTCCTAGCAGCCAAGGGCAAGCCATTGCACTTTGAGGCAACTTTTTGACGGATATATTCCAAATTTGGAAATTTGGCAATATCTTTAATCTTGAATGCATGTTTGGCGAACACGGACCAACACTCTTCCTCTGATAAGAGCTTTACATTATGACTTGCATTGGATCCAGTCATTATTGACACAACTTTGAGGTGGCGTGTTGTAACAATTATCCTACTCCCTGGTGCTCCTGCCATGAAGGGAGCTTTTAGGTTTTCCCAGTTATCATAATCTTCATTCCAGACATGATCCAGTAAAAGCAAGAATTTTTTGCCAGCTAGTCAAGATCTCAGTATAACTTGTAGTTGGTTAAGAGTCTCCACACCGGAAGACTTGAAATTTATCTCCGCCAAAATTGCCCTGTAGATCTTTTCATCATCAAAATGGTCATGATCAGAAACAGAAACCCATACTTTTAGGTCAAAATATTTCACTGCCTGGTCATTGAACACTTCACGAGCAAGTGTCGTTTTGCCAATTCCTCCCATTCCGACAATGGGTATTACACGAAAGTTGGCATCACTTGGTTCATCCTTCGACATCATTTCAAGTATTTTGGCTTTATCAGCGTCTCTACCAATAACAGCAGGTTCATGTTGCAAAGTTGTTGCTCGTCGTCTTTGTGGTGCAGCAGCTGATGTCCCTCCAGCAATCTCTTTCAACCCAAGACGATGTCTTCGTTTACAGAGATCTTCCAAACGGCGATTTACCTCTTCTATCTCCGACTTCATATGACAGTTGGACATCCAAGAAGAGAAATAACCAGCCACGATGTCCTTGGGCTGGTCTGCAGTCATCAATTTGCGCTCTTCAAGTTCAAGTTGAGTGGCATATTTATCCAGAATGTCTTCTACATCATAAGCCAATTGTTGCAGATCATCCAACCACATATTCACTGCCTTGTTGGTTAGTTGCTTCTCTTCTGCGTCGTTAACTACTGCTTGAATCATCAGTAACTCTTCCTTCCACGGCTTTATCACTGAATCTATCCCAGATCCACTGACAAAGGGCAGCAACGTAGGATTCGCCAATCTGTCGAAAAGCACCTGAAGGGATGCACCGAAAGCGGCCACAACGAATTCATTCGCTGGCATGATTCTGGTTTAGTCCTTGAAAGAAAAGAAAGGATTGTCACAAAGAAGCAACTGGCAAGAGAGAGCGACAAAATCAACAAAACTGTCAAATAAACTTACAACACCAACCAAATTCATATAGATTTAATTGCTTAACTGCAACCAAATTCATTTTCGAAAATAAAAACATAAAACACAACAATGATGTACCATCAATTTCTTGGTGCAACAGCAGTAGACCTTACAATCATCTGATTTCCTTATAGTTTTTAAGTACTGATTTAACGAAATTCTATTCCTGAGTAATGTGATTTATCTAATTTTTAAGTACAAGCACAAAGTTAAAGAAAAACAAATAGAAATACCTAAAAACTTTGACAGATTGTCCTTAAAAATATTATTACTATTGAAGCTTGTGGAGCTTCACATGATTGTCAAACTCTCAAGAATTCATAAAAATAAATAGACCCCAGATCTCAGTGTCACAAATAAAAATAAATAGAAATTGAATTCATAAATAACATGTATATAATAATGTTTAGAAAGGAGTAAAAACGTTTTTCATGTTATAGTTTTTAAGTACTGATTTAACGAAATTCTATTCCTGAGTAATATGATTTATCTAATTTTTAAGTACAAACATAAAGTTTAAACAAAAATAATCGGCCAGAAAGATCTCAGAAGTGACAGGATTATGAAATTCTTATCTGGCTATCTCTTAAAGAAATAAGAATTAAGTTGCTAAGAAACATAAATTCATCACAAAGATAAACACATTTAATGTACGTACCTCAACACCAGAGAAATTAAGTGCAGAAAGTTTGAGAGTAACTTTATAGAGTTTTTTCTATTATCTTCTATTTTTGAAAGTCAAATGAGAGTAATTACTCCCCTAATCCTGCATAAAAAAGCAGTTGTAAGGAAATGGTGATGATATTAAATTTTATATGATTGTTTCACACAAAGAAGGTTCATAAGTCATCTAAGGTTAGTTTGAAGAAAAATAATAAAGAATGACTCCAATTTTAGTCTTCGTGAATTGGAAAATATATAAAAGTTAAGCCATATGAAGCCAAGCAAATCAAGACAACTCTTTACATTAATAAATGTGAATAGTAGGTGGTGTTTATTTAATTTGGTTCAATTAATCTGATGAGCTTGTTTGATTCTTCCTCTAAATAATAACTAATTAAAACCGCGTATGGACTTTTGATCACAGTTTCGTCTTTGTTCATAATCTGTTTACACTAATTAATTCAAATCGTGTATGGACTTTTTCTCACCCAAGGTTTGGCCTGATGAGACTGTCCCATCCATCAAGTTTTAAAATGACACTTTACCACCCATGTTAATATTCTTCCATTAAGTTTAATTAAAGAAGAATATGGTGGTAAATTCAAAAAAAAGTTAAAGGGTAATTATGCCATTTTACCCCTATATAAACCTAAATCCTCTCAAACTGCTACAGTGCCACCGCCACTACCGCTAGTCGTTTCAAGCCGGTTTCGGCTGGTTCACCAAAACTGACAGAGATCTTCACTTCTTCATCCTTTGAGCCTTATCCCAGCCTAATTGTCCAAGAATTGGCCGAAATTAAGCCGTTTACCACGGAAAAAACCCAACCTTCAAGCCGTGGTCCAGGTGAAATTGGCCTGTTTCTGGTGTCGTTGACCTCCCTCAATTCCACCAAAATACTCCCTTCACCTCCCTCATCAAAACCCCTATCTCCCCACAATTGTTTAGCACGCTGTTCGTCGCTCACCGTGCTTGGCTTGTTTTACGTGCCCCAAGATTTTTCGATCGATCCCATCATCGAAAACCAACCTCGACACCACCAAATGCACCATCGACACTTCCTCTCTAAAACCCTTAACAAACCTGATTTCGTTTGCCCATCGAACACCGCCGATCACTGCCTCATTTCCTAGGGTTTTTTTTTGCTTGATTGATGATTTGGGTGTAATTGTTTGGAATTGTTTCGTTGGAAATTGACTAGTGAAGTTGGTTTAGAAGTGCTTGTGGTTGTGTGTGATTGTTTTTCCAGTCGCCAGATTAGAAATGTTTGTGGTTGTGTGGATTGATTTCCCGGTCACCAGAATCAGAGGTGGCGAAAGAGAGAAGAAAAGAAGAGAATAAGGGAGAAGGGTGTTTTGCTCTTTACACTGTTTTATCATGTTACATAACGGATTTTCCTAACGAAACATAATGGTGGGTGGGAAAAGTGTCGTTTTGAAACTTGATGAGTGGGAAAAGTGTCATTTGGAAACTTGACGGGGTGGGAAAGTCGTATTAGGCCAAAACTTGGGTGGGAAAAAGTCATTTGCTCTTTAAATTCTCTATCAAACGGGCCCAAGTTTTTCATTATGGAAATTTTTTTAATTTTGTATCTTTAGTGTGGCAGCAATGCTATAGACACTGGAAATTGGTACCGAAAATTTGCATCAAAATACGTAGCACCTGAGACGGACGTCGCTACGTAGGACACGATAGAAGACTTTCGTAAATGGATGACAGTCTAACATTGTTGGACGGCCGTCTAGAAACTCATTCAGGAATTGACGACAAAAGGCACATTAATCCCTATTGAGTTTTCCCTTTGAACGAGATCTTCCTCTTCTCTCCTTCTTACGACTCTGATTTTGACTCAGCCTTCTTGCTACAAGAGCTTTTGCTGACTCATCTCTATTCTCTTTCTGATTCTTCTTCTGAATTTCATGATTGGACAGAGCAAAACAAACTTCTTCAAAGGACAATTTTTCTTTCCCATGAAGAAGTGTAATACTAAGATAGTCCAACTCATCTGGAAGAGATCCAATTAACAACATAGCCTTATGTTCATCTTTGAATGTTTCATACAAATTTAACAAATCAGCAATTAATCTATTAAATGTATCAATATGGCTACTGATATTCGTACCTGGTCTCAACTGAAGACAAAACAGTCTTTTCATCAAATAGAGCCGATTCTCATTACTTTTCTTCATGTATTTGTTTTCCAGCGCCTTCTATAACTTATTGGCAGAGGTCTCTTTCGTGAATGGATATTTCTACTCTCTACAAAGACATGAGCGAATCATCCCACACGCTTTTACATTCAACCTCACCTAGTCTTTCTCATAGATATCTTCTGGTTTTTCCTTCTCCAGAAAGATATCTAGATCCTGCTGATACAAGCTATCCATTACCTCACTCTGCCACAAGCCAAAATTATTTTGGCCATCAAATTTTTCAACATCAATTTTTGCATTTGAAACTGTTATCATCTTTACTGGCGCGGATGGTGGTGCCGCGGATGGTGATGCCTCTGACGATTAATCCTTAGTCAATGATGCCATTTATGCCTTACTCAATTGGCTTGGTAAACAAATTTCTCAATAACCAAGCTCCACAAATTATTATATTCAATAGCTAACCAACAAATCAACAATAGCCCTAGGTAGTAGTAAGTGCTGAAATGATTAAATACGCACCAGGAAAATTCCCATGAAACAATGGAGGGGTCACAAATGGTCCCACTTAAAATCCAGTCTCCTTAGACTTTTATCGTCTTTTTGACAGAATTTTCCTAGACATGCATATAACCATACAAATAGCTACTCACTGTCCTAAACATAGGCTTTGAAACCAATTGTTATGCAACGGAAACATAAACTCTAACTCTAACGATTAAATATAATAATAACAAGTAGTAAAGCATAAATAAATAGCCAAAATTAAATGCAAAAATAAAGAATACCAGGAATTAACGAGGTTTGGTATTGAAACCTACGTCCTCGGGCGCTGCAAAAGAAAACTCCATTATCTCCAAAACATTACAAATATTTGGGTAATACAACAAATACCCAAAACAAAGGGGAGATACAATAAAGCTTGCAAATTAAAGGGTCCTTAAAGAAAGAACCCTAAACAAAAGAAGTATAATGGAATTACAACTTGAGATACAAATAACAATGATTTAGGTCCTTATATATAGGCCCCAAAAGTTTCCCACTTTTCATTCCTAAACAATGTTTTAACTATTTATTTATATTTTACTATTTGTTATTATTATATTCAATAGCTAGAATTAGAGTTTATGTTTCCGTTACATAACAATAATAAAATTAATTAACCCTGTCTCACTCTATAACTACCCTTAGTCTTTATTTTTATAAATTAAAACTAAAACCGCGTGGACTTTTGATCACATGACTCAAGAACATGAAGTAACAAATTATTTGATCAGAACCTAGTGCAAGGAAAAAAAAAATCTTAGATTTGTTGAGTTGTTGTAGATCAGGAATTGATAAAGACTTCATGATTATCCTTATTATTATTTTATAATTGTTTACTTGTTAGATCACGAAATGATAGGCTAATGCGAAAAAGAAATTTGTTTTTCTTAATTCCAGCCGTCCTGCAGCTGCCGGTATTGGATTGGATAATACGATGCTCACAGCTGAAGATTTGATTTTGTCAAACACAACTTTAATTTACCAATTATTTACTTGGTATTGTTGGAGAAACGACATATTTTGATCAATAATAATACTCACAATCGCATTATATAGATGCCATAGGAGTTCAAGAGAATTAAATCAAAAGTGAGACATGTTATTGTCTTGTAACAATAGAAATACTGATGTAATTACAGAGTACTCGTTCAGCACTGTTTCATTGAGTAGAAATGCAGAAAAAAAAACTCTTATGAAAAGGTTCTGCAAGGAGCAGAATGAAACTCCATCCACGTCTACAAAGCTTCCAAAGATGACCAACAACTTGACGCTCACTTTTTGGCAAAACATAAGACCTTGACTCCCCCACTGCCACTTGAAGACTTTGCGGTGCTTTTCTTGTCTGTTTTGAAGTTAGAAGTAGCACCTTAAATATTACCTGACACATCAATGTTCGAAGTTTTAGGGCATTAACCTAAGCCCTCAGACAAACTGTGTGTGATTTGAGTTCTAGTTAGAGTCTTTTTTATATGAAGCATAGCTAACACCTGTGAGACATTTTCCTAATTGGGTATGTCTATTATCAAAAGGTTATGTATCTTCAAAAGGTCATGTACCTTCAAAAGGTTGTGTTTCTTGCGGCTTCACAATGCCAATAGTAGAGGCTAACTCGTAGAAGAAGAAGATCAAAAAAATTCTATAGAGCAAAAGTCGGATCAGCAGAGCACAATTTTTTCAGAATTTGCCGATGATTAGAGATTAGAATTTGAGCAACAGCCTGAAGCAGGATAGAGATGCGAAGCCCTTTACCTCAAGTGGTTCATTTTACAAGACATTGTCATTAGAAATCACCTCAACTAGAAGTTAGAGGCATTGTCTAACTGCATAAGCAGACATTCACTTGAGAAGGGTCCCTTTCTTTTTGGAGTTTCAGATATCTTTAAACCAAGCTGTTGCAGGAAAGGGTGGAACATAACCAGACTAGGGAGAATTTTCCTCGGAAATTGTCCGATTCAGCATACTAGTCCTCTCGTAGTTGCTGTTTCTCCTAGAAGTCTTGGTTTTCGCCCTAATTAAAAGAGAATGACAAATTAAGTTGATATCCAGGGAAAACATCATAAACAAGTCTGCGGAAGGAGAGAAGGAACAAGGATTCTCACCACAAGCTTGATCTTGAGCAAATCTTCACCAACTCAAAAGTCACATGCCACAGACTCTGTTCTGCCTCAACTGTCCTTTGAAACTATAAAATCATAACATGGCAAGAAAATCATGATTCCATAAGGTAGGATCCACTTTCATTGTCCTCTCAATGTACCCTTCGATATCGGAAATAATACCAATTTGGCTGCTGAAACAGAGAAATGACAAGGGCATGGGTATACACATATGCTTACATGATGTAAGGAAGAATATGGCAGAAGAGACAAGACCCCAAAGGAAAAAAATGATGCCTCTGCTATCAGGAACCTCTTTTAAAGTCCACCTCATCAAGAGACGAACTGATATCTGAAAAAAAAAAAAAAAAAAAAAAAAAAAACCTAGTAGTTTTGTCTGATATCATTAATTATGTTGCAAATATCAGAATTTGAATATGTTCAAAGAATCAATGAGGTGGAAAAGCAGTTCAGTTCAAGAGCAGAGATGAAAACTTCATTTACGCATGTTTATACGTCAATGCCAGTGAGCCCACTTAAGTTTCGATTCAGCATTCATCAGTTGGTCTACTTCCTTTCTCACTTCAAGAACAGAAATGGACATTTGAGAGCTGAGACAGTTGTGACCTAATGAAGGCTGGTATTAAACTCCACATCTGCAAATTAGAATTGAAGATGGTAACCAATTAAGGCAATGAAATAATAAAAATTATTTAAAACTCAACTGTTAGGTACCAATGAGAACAATGTGATCACCAATTACATAAAACATCATACAGATTAATACATCTATTTAGTTTCAATTTATAAGTAAAATTTCGACCCCTCTGATTAATACCGTACAAGGTATATATTAGAACACATTCAAACAACCATGTTAGAGTAAATTAATCATTTTATTTGTATCAAAATTTTCACTACAAAGCTGCTTGTAGTAGGCCTACATATATAAGCTTTGGAGACAGAAGAGAGTACTGTGTTAGACCTTACCAAAAAATGATCACATGGAATAAGGTCCATGTTTGAACAGCAAAATGATGCTTTCTTGTTTTTAAATAACAACATGAACTGCTTAAATTAGAGCTCAAAATGGAAGATAGGAAGAAGGGAAGAAATACCATTTAATTACTTAAATTATCTTATTCATAACAGAGGAAGCAAATATTCACAACAGGTAATGGCAAAAGCTGTCATTAACAATATAAATTGGCATTGCAAGCTCAGAATAGGCTCAAAATACAAGATTGAATTGGAGAGAGAACAATCTGATCATCAACTGCTTAAGCAGCAATACAGAAAGACGAAAAGTCCCAAAACTTCACTGATCCCTTTCTACTTGACTTTGTCAGTAGTCATCTCCTAAAAAGAAAAAAATAACACACTTCATATAGACAAAAGTAATTATGATAGTGCCCAGATGGCAGTTGGAGACATAGTCGACTGAAAGCGGACTTCTGGTATGAAGCTGCTATTTCTGGGAGACATCAACGAGTTAGAGCTCCAAAACTCGCTGAGGAGTGTGTCTATTTGCTTCAGTCTTTGATCTCTTTAAACCAAGGCTGCTGTGAGAAGGGTGGCATATATGCTTCCTCACCAATTGTAACATTTGGAATTAACAACTCTGTTGTAATTTTTGTTACTCATTGAAGTCCTGATTTTCATCCAAAAGAAAAAAGAAGATCAATTATGTAGAGATTGAAGTCAATAATCCCGGAGTAACATAGTAACCAGTAAACAGTGTGTACAAGGAATATGGTCACTAACCACAGACTTGAACATATCTTTAACCAGCTCCTGATTCACAGGCTTGCAGAGGTTTGGCCTCAACAAGGATATGCAGAGGTTCATCTCGTCCTCTGAAAAAAATCAAAAGAATGACATATTAATTAGATATTCTAAATAATAAAGAAGGCAAAATGCTGGGAAAACAAAGTAAACAAAGTTTGCGTAAGGGGAGAAGGAACACTGTGACAGAGGATCATAAATTACATACACCAATGTAAATCAATTCAATTGAGAAAAAAAAAAAAAAAAAAATGAAAAACTAGAGGTGCAACATTGGACTTGCAGGTAATACATAGGTAAGCAAGCAAGCAAGAGTATGCTCAAGAAGAAGCTCACCGTTCGGATTGCCGTGTTGATAGACTATAATGCACTAGGGAGTGTAACATAATAAACTGTCAACTATGCTAAGAATTTGAAATGTTACTTGTGAAAGAAACAAACGGATCAGGTGTTATAAACATAAACATTAACATAATTAACACCATGCTTACCATAAACATGGATATCAGGGAAGTGGGCTAAATAAAAAATGAAACTAACTTACTAAAGGAATTAGTGCTGGGAATACAAAGTAGATAAGTTTGCGTTAGGAGAGAAGGAAATCTTCAAGTAGTACACAAGTAGCATGCTTGCAGAGATTCTGCCTCAACTATTTCAACTAGTACTTCTACCACAAAAAGGATGTTCACAGTCTCATTATGATGTGCATAGCCAGGTTTTCTTCCTGCAAATTCACCCTGAAAGAATGACAGGATAGCAAATTAAAATTGATGTTCATATGACAAGAAGCAGGGGCGGAGCCAAAAAAATTTCTTTTGGGGGTCTAAGTGTCCATCTTCAACGAATAAAGGGGTTTAAAGTATTAAAAATAAATTTCGAAAGCTGCTCTAATGGGAGCTAAAGTGTCGGGTTCAGCGAATGGGGTGGAGAAAAGGTTGAAAAGTGAATATTTAAGAGTAGAAATGATATACTCCTATGTAACTTTTGAAAATTTTGTGACACAATTTTCACCACTGACAAGAAAAAGTGAGTACTTGCTTCCCAATTTAAAAAGAAGTATGGGAAATCAAGCTCATACAAAAAACCACAAATGTTTCATAATTTGCTAAAGATTTGATACATATTTCGATTTTTAACATGGTATCAAAACAGATTCTGATTTTTAACAGGGTATTAGAGCTTATACCTACGAGAGAAGGGGACAGTTTGGGTAGGAACCACAATTCAATTCCCTCACAACAATCCCCATTATCGTATCATTAGAAAATATGGTATGGAACTGCAGAAACTAACACAAGCTTCAAAACCGACTAAGAAGGTTTACCATATGGGACACAAACACACATGGGAAAACCTTCCTCAAAAATTATACAATTAAGTATTATTAGCTTTCTCGTAATTGCAGTTAATCATATAGGTCTTGGTTTTCACCCTAAATAAAAGAGAAAGAGACAAATTAAGTAGACAAATCGGCACAAGGAGAGAAGGAATAAGGATTCTCACCACAAGCTTGACTCTTGGGCAAATCTTCAACAACTGAAAGTCACATGCCACAGATGTTCTGTTTTGCCTCAACTATTTCAATCGGTAGTAGTACTGCATCGACAATGACGTGGAGGTTTTCTTCCTGTTATTTTGTTCCATAGGAAACAAACAACACAAGAATTTAACATTGTGTGTTCATGAGGCATATTGTAATACCACGTTCTTAATGAGCTATGAACATTAAAATAAGTTAGTGATAACTTTTCCTTTAACCAAAGAAAAACAGAGGATTAAAATTTCAAGCAATTTGATAATAAAGTAAAAGAAGCAGCAATTTTAGGCAGAGTATGATTATGTTTACCATTGTGATTGATTGGAGTTGGGAGTTCAGATATTCTTGCATGTGGAAGTGGAACACAATAAACACCCACTTGTTATATAATTATTGTTAAAGCAAACAGGATTTAGGTGTTCTACTTCACATACCTCAAGAGCTAATTCTCTGGATTTTGAGACTACGTAGAGCTTGTTCTTCCCTCCTTTTCTACATCTTTACAAAATACTGATTTCAGGGATATGGGCAATCTTCGACCACTCTTGTCCTTCATCCTTCTTACACCGTTCTTTTAACAGATCGCAATCCGTAATCCTTAATTCCAAAAGTGATGATGGGAGGCCCTCCTCTGGAAAGGATATAAGATCCGGACATTGATAGATGTCTAATTCTTGAAGAGAGGTGAGATTTTGAAAAGCTTTGGAAGATAGGTATTTTAATTTTGGGAATTCACGAATGAACAGCTGTGTTAAAAAGGGCGGCAACATCCCTTCTTCAGGAAAAGATTCTGCAACTGAGCCTTCATCAGTCCAGTGAGAGGTAAGAAAGTGATCGTACAATCCCCACTCAATCCGGAGGTATTTAAGAGAGGTGAGCTTGTGCAATCCCCACTCCATCAGTGGCTTACAGATAGTCGGACCTCCGACTGTAAGTGATGTGAGGCTGGTGGGGAGACCTTCTTCTGGAAATGTTATTCTTGGACAACGGGATATCGTCAATTTTTGAAGAGAGTTGAGGGTGTGGATGCCATTGGGTAGAGCTTTAAGATTGCCACAACCAGATATATAGACTTCTCGGATTGTGCTGGGAAGCCTTTGATCAGGGAAGGAAAAAAGACTATCACATCTAGTTATGCGAATCTTACGAAGAAAATTAAGTTCGTGTAAACCCTCTGGTAGGCATTTAAGATTATCACAAAAGCTCATATAAATATCTTGGAGAGCCATGTTTTTGGGGAACCTTTTTGCTATTAGCTCTAATTTTTCACAGAAACTAACCATGAGGTTTTCAAGTGCTTCAGTTGGTTGGTTTTCTAACAATAAGATCGGGAGTTTTGGGCAGTTGTCAATTTTGAGGTTCTTAAGTTTAGTAAGTGACAGACCTTTCGATGACAAACAAGCGAGAGATGAGCACATGCTGATGTCCAAGTCTTCTAGCTGAGATATTCTAGAGTTGTCAATGTTCTCTCTGTGCGTCACTGAAGAAGAAGATAGAGAAGAAGTGCCAACATCTTCTGTATCATCCAACAAACACTTCAATTTCTTACAACGATATACTGATAGCTTTCTCAGAGATGAAGGAAGCTGACCTCTCACAATGCATGTCAAAGAATCACAATTGTCAATTACTAAACTTTCAAGGCGCTCAAGCGTCTTAGGTAACTGACGTGCTGATGATAAACTCATGAGCGATGAGCAATCGGTGATCTTCAGATTAAAAAGCCGAGTGTCCATCAGTGAAGAAGAGGAAGATGAAGTGCCCACTTCTCTATCATAAAACAGATATTGCAATTTCTCACAGAGAACAATCTCAAGTGTCTCCAAGAAAGTTAAAGACTCAGATAAATCTCCAAGCCAATCTGGAAATTGTGTGCCACCATATCGTTCGATGCAGAGCTTTTTCAGATTTTTGTGAGGTCTTAATATATCAAGTACATTTTTCTGTACTTCCTCACTTTGACACTCTTTATCACCATTGCTACAATCCCAATCTAGCCGTAACTCGTCTAGCTTCTCCTTGTCACTTAATATTGCTTCTCGCGAAAGTGAGGTAGCATTTTTTAATTTTGAAATATAAAGCTTTCCACGAAGAAACTTGAAGTTACTTAAAACATCCAAACTAGATCTAATTTCTTTGCCCACGACAAAATTAGATAATGTTCGAAGATTCTTCCAATTTTCCATTCCCAATGGCATCTCTACTAGATTTACTCCTTGGATATTAAGATGGCTTAGATTGATCAAATTTCCCATAGGAGGTAATTTTTTGATTAATCTACACCATCTTAGTTGCAAAACCTCTAAGTTGATTAATGAATTCATTGACTCAGGTAGGCTTGTAATAGCGGTGTTTGAAAGGCATAGGTACCTCAAATGTTTCAAATCTCCAATTGTATCAGGTAAACTAATGATTGGAGCACTCCTTAACATATAAAAATCACTCTTTAGAGACAACACCCTCAATTTTTTGAATTTTGGAAAAAAAATTGGAAAATCTATACCAGATGCAACATAGTTGACTTCAAAGATTGTCCTCAAGTTCACAGCTTCATGAATTGCTTCAAATTTTGTGTAAGACAAGTGGTGAGTCGACAAGTGGCGAATCTTTTTTAATGCTTCTGATTGGTTGTTGATCATCAATTCATCCTCCAATCTAAAACTTGTGTCTCCAGAAGCCCATTTTGCTAGATCATTAACAAGATCATGCATTACATAAGTAGAATGGGACATATTGCTTGCTTTCTGAAAAAGTGATCTTGATAACAGATCTTGAAAATATTCACCACCTACATCTTCTAATTCTTGATTGTATTTTGACTCTTGAATTAGACCTTCTGCCATCCACAAAAGGACAAGCTCCTCCTCTTTGAATTCATAATTCTTCGGAAAAATTGCACAATATGCAAAACATCTTTTAAGATGGGAAGGAAGATGGTGGTAGCTTAATTTTAACACCATCGGAATCTCACTATGCTTACTTGAGTTCAACGTATCTTCCCATATTTTACTGTCTAAAATATCTTTCCACTTACTTTCTCTTTGCTCACAACGTAGAAGGCCACCAAGAGTCCTAGCAGCCAAGGGCAAGCCACTGCACTTTGAGGCTACTTTTTGACGAATATATTCCAAATTTGTAAATTTGGCAATATCTCTATTCTCGAATGCATGTTTGGCGAACACGGACCAGCAGTCTTCTTCCGATAAGAGCTCCACATTATGATGTTCAATGGATCCAGTCATTGTTGATACAACATTGAGGTTGCGTGTTGTAACAATTGTCCTACTCCCTGGTGCTCCTGCCATGAAGGGAGTTTTTAGGATTTCCCAGTTACCATAATCCTCATTCCAGACGTCATCCAAGACAAGCAAGAATTTTTTGCCAACTACTTGAGAACTTAGTTTAACTTGTAGTTGGTTAAGAGTCTCCACATCGGAAGACTTGGAAGTTATCTCCTCCAAAATTGCCTTGTAGATCTTTTGAACATCAAAATTATCATGATCCGAAACACAAACCCATACTTTTGGGTCAAAATCTTTCACTGCCTTGTCGTTGAACACTTCGCGAGCAAGTGTTGTTTTGCCAATTCCTCCTATTCCAACAATGGGTATTACATGAATGTTGGCATCACTTGGTTTATCCTGCAACATCATTTCAAGTAGTTTGGCTTTATCATCATCTCTACCAATAACAGCAGGTTCAAGTTGCAAGGATGTAGTTGGTAGTCTTTGTGGTACAGCAGTTGATGTCCCTCCAGCAATCTCTTTCAACCCAAGACAATCTCTTTGTTCACAAAGATCTTCCAAACGGTCAGTTATCTCTTCCATCTCCGACTCCATGTGACGGTTGGACATCAAAGAAGAGAGATAACCAGTAAAGCTGTTCGTTGGCTGGTCTGTAATCATCAATTTGCGCTCTGCAAGTTGAGTGGCATATTCATCCAGAATATCTTCTACATCATAAGCCAAGTCTTTTAGATCATCCAACCAGATTTTCACTGCCGGGTTGGTTAGTTGCTTCTCTTCTGCGTCGTTAAGTACTGCTTGAATCATCGATAACTTTTTCCTCCACTGCTTTATCACTGAATCTATCCCAGATTCACGTAGAAAGGACAGCAACCTACGATCCGCCAATCTGTCAAAAAACACCTGGAGGAACGCACCCAGAAACACCTCTCCCACTGCCATGATTCTGGTCGAGTCTGTGAAAGAAAAGAAAGGATTGTTAGAAGGAAGCGGCAGGCAAGAGAGAGTCATGACAATATCAACAAAACTGTCCAATAAACTATATTCTATTCCGGAGTAATATGATATACTAACACTTGATGATCGATCTTGTGGCCTAAAAAAGAAGACAAAAGGTAAAAAGCAAAAGAGAGATTTTAATTTTTTTTATCTAAAAAAGGGGACAACATATTTAACATGTTCTCTCAACTTCTCTTTTATGAAAACGAAAACGAAAATGTAAATTTCTTAAATTTTTAGAAAATCTAATTTTAGAAGTTGAGATGAAATTCTGGTGTTAACTTAATCAAATAAGTTTCACTGTATTATTAATGATTTCAAAAGTTAATTTCACTTTTATAATTTTCAACTTCTCTTTTATGCAAATGAAAAATAACAAAATATTTTTTTTTTTCCAACCAGTTCAAAATTAGGACATATTCATAAAATTATATGTCCTAAATTTTTTATGATTTAAAAATATTTCTAAAAAAAAGAAAAAAAGAAAGAGGGTGTTTATAATGAAAGTACTTGTAATGAAAGAGGGTGATAATAAACATTTGAGTACTTGTAATAATAAAAGTAAACATAAACATTTAAATACTTACACAATTAAGTAAATTGAAGCAGAGATTCCCACAGAATTTCAGAGCTAGAGCTAGAAAGGCTGAGCGAATATGAGAGAAATATAGACACAAATAACCATGAATGGTATCAAAATTAACGATAATGAATTTAAAGGGAAGAAGATGGACTCTGGTGTTTTCAGAAATGGTTAATAAAATTAATTAACCCTGTCTCACTCTATAACTACCCTTAGTCTTTATTTTTATAAATTAAAACTATAACCGCGTGGACTTTTGATGACATGATCCAAGAACAAGAAGTAACAAATTATTTGATCAGAACCTAGTATTAACCTTGTGCAAGGAAAAAAGAAATCTTAGATTTGTTGAGTTGTTGTTGTAGATCAGGAATTGATAAAGATTTTATGATTATCCTTATTATTATTTTATAATTGTTGACTCGTTAGATCACGAAATGATTGACTAATGCGAAAAAGAAATTTGTTTTTCTTAATTCCTGCCGTCCTGCAGCTGCCGGTATTGGATTGGATAATACCATCCACGTCTAAAGCTTCAAAAGATGACCAATAACTTAACGCCGCTTTTTGGCAAAACATAAGACCTTGACTCCCCCACTGCCACTTGAAGACTTTGCGGTGCTTTTCTTGTCTGTTTTGAAGCAGCACCTTAAATATTACCTGACACATCAATGTTCGAAGTTTTAGGGCATTAACCTAGGCCATTATACAAACTCTGTGTGATTTGTGTTCTAGTTAAAGTCTTACTATATGAAGCAGAGCTAACACCAACATATTCCTGTCATGTCTTGCGGCTTCACAATGCCAATAGTAAAGGCTAACTCGTAGAAGAAGAACATCAAAAAATTTTTATAAAGCAAAAGTCGATCAGCAGAGCACAGATTTTTCAAAATTTGCCAATGATTAGCCTAAAGCAAGATAGAGATGCGAAGCCCTGCACCTCAACTGGTTCATTTTACAAGACATTGTCATTAGAAATCACCTCAACTAGTGAAGTTAGAGGCATTGTCTGACTGCATAAGCAGACATTCCCTTGAGGAGGGTCCCTTTTTTTTGGAGTTTCAGATATCTTTAAACCAATGTTGTTGCAGGAAAGGGTGGAACTGTTGAAACATAGATAATTTGCTGGAAATTCAGTTGAGAGTTAGTTTGATCTTTTGAATATGTTTTGGCGCCAAGCAGCTGCTGGAATCCTACATGTCTACCGAAATTGAAGCTGCTGTAGTAGCTGTTTTTAATGACATGTTTAGGTGAAATTTAGCTTAGATTAAGGTTGTATTAAGTTGGCAACTTTGTTTTAAATTTTAAAAGTCTGAATGGTTGTTGCAGTTGGTAAAACAGTATGCCTTTGTTGTATATAATGTAAGTTGTAGTGTAATGAAAATATAAGTTTAACTCTTTTCATTCTCTCCTCATCTTTCCTTAGAGTTCACCGGCTCTTAAAAAACCCAACAAATGGTATTAGAGCCACACACAAAAACAACCTGAAATCTCTCTCTCTTGCAGTCAATCTTCAACTGCAACTCAAGAACACCTCCCATCTTAGCCCAAAAATAGCATGCATCTGCTCTCTTATTTTCTTGTGTCAGACACAAAAATTGAAACAATGGCTGCTCAAACAACCTTGATGTCACCCCCAATGTTTAATGGGAAACATTACCATCTATGGGCTGTAAAGATGAAAGCCTTCCTCCGGGCTGTGGTAGTATATGGAAGAAAACAGGCAGCCACCTCCATTAGGGACCAAATCCTACCCTTAATCAGATGAGACTATATGAGGAAGAAACAACCAAAGCACTGAGAGCCCTTTTCCACATTCATGTGTTGTAACAGACTTTGCATTCACAAGGATCATGGCATATGAGACTCCAAAAGAGGCATGGGATAAGCTGAGAGAAGAGTACATGGGCAGCACCACAACAAGGTATATGCAGGTGCTAAATTTAAGGAGAGAGTTTGAGATGTAGAGGATGCAAGAATCAAATAAGGTTAAGGACTATGTTGACAGATTGATAAGTGTTGTCAACAAGATAAGGCTGCTAGGAGTGGATTCGACAGACAGGAGAGTGGTAGAGAAAGTTCTGGTCAGCCTACTTGAAAGATTTGATCCAAAATCTCATCTCTAGAGGACTCAAGAGACATGGGGCAGGTTACACTCATAGAGTTGGTTCATGCACTGCAAGCACAAGAGCAAAAAAGGCTATTGAGGCAAGAAGATATAGGTAAGGTTGCAATGATGGCAACTCACAAAACCAAATCAGCTAAAGGGAACAATAGGAGGTATGCCGATGAGAAGAAGGGGAAAGAAAGGAGCAATAGCCAATGGGGAAAACCAGATAGGATGAAGGAATATCCACCTTGCTCCCACTGTAAAAGGAAGGGGCATTCTGAAAAAAGATGCTGGTTTAGGCTAGGAATACAGTGCAGGGCTTGTAACAATTTGGTCATATAGAGAGGGTATGCAAGAACAGAGGAGAGCGCCCCTAATAGCAAGCACAAGTGATAGATGACCAGCAACCTGAACAAGGGGTAGATCAGTTGTTTATGGCCTCCTACAGTGCACCACCAACATTCTATGATGGTTGGCTGGTTGACAGGTGGTGTACAAACCATATGACACCACATCTGCATGATTTTGTTAGATTAAACTCAACACATCGATCCAGGATTAAAATTACAAATGGTGACTATGTTGAAGCAAAGGGGAAGGGAGATGTTGCAATTCAGACCTTCACAAGTATAAAACTCATCTTAAATGTACTCAATGCACCCTAAATCACTTAAAGCCTTTTAAGTGTAGGACAAATGCTAGAAAGCCATTATGTCTTGCATTTTGAAAATCATATCTGCCAAATTCTAGACAGTAAGGCGTGTGAGTTAATGAGAGTCAAAATAGTGGGAAAAAGCTTTCCCATCAAGCTGAAAAAAACTGAACATAGAGCCTGCAGTGTACAAGTAGATGAGTTTGTGAAATGGCATAAGAGACTTGGCCATATTCATTACCAAGGTCTCAAGGAAATTCAGACCAAGAAACTGGTCCAAAATCTACCAGAATTAGAGGAGAGTAATACCATATGTCAAGCCTGTCAACTTGGCAAGTTAAGTAGGCAATCCTTCCCTGCAAACCAAGCCTAGAGAGCAATTGAAAAACTGCAGCTCATTCATACAGATGTATGTGGTCCTATGGAAACTTAGTCATTGAGTGGAAATAGGTATTTTGTGTTGTTTATTGATGACCATTCTAGGATGTGTTGGGTGTATTTTCTTAAGCAAAAAGGAGAAGTTGCAGGCGTATTCAAGTAGTTTAAGCTGCTGGTGGAAAATCAAGCTCGAAAAACTATAAAAATCTTGAGAAGTGATAATGGTACAGAATACACTTCTCAAGAGTCTGAACAAGTGTGCAAGGATGCTAGAATCAAGCATCAATACAATAGCCCCTACACTCTACAGCAAAATGGAGTTAGTGAGAGGAAGAATAGATCAGTTGAGAAGAAGTTGCCAAAGAAATTTTGAGTAGAAACTATCAATACAGTAGTGTTTCTGCTCAATAGGCTTCCTACAAAAGCCTTAGACAACGAAACACCCTATGAAGCATGGTATGGAGTTAAACCAGCAGTGGATATGCTCAAAATATTCAGAAGTATATGCTACATTCTGGTTCCAGTAGCAAAAACATTCAAGCTGGATGAAAAGGCTTTAATTGGCATTTTTATAGGCTATAGTAGTCAATCTAAAGCCAATAGGGTGTATGTTCCAGAAACCAAAAAAATTTAGATTTCGAAGGATGTCAAAATTGATGAGGATGGAGTATGGAATTAGAAAGAAAATAGAGCTGATGTGGAGACAAAACTAGGCTGGACAGAAGTTGCTGATGATTAGATTTATGATGATGTTGAGAGTGATGCAGAAGAAGAAGTTTCAGTTAGAGGTACCAGACCTTTAGCTGAGGTTTATGAGAGATGTAACATAGCCTCACTTGAGCCAACATGTTACTCTGAGGCTGCAAAATCAGAAATTTGTAGATCTGCCATGAAGGAGGAGCTTGCAATGATTGAGAAGAATCAAACTTGGAACCTAGTGGACAGATCTCAGAACAAGAAAGTGATCCAAGTTAAATGGATTTTCAAGAAGAAGCTCAATCCAGATGGTTCAGTCCTTAAGCACAAAGCAAAGCTAGTTGTCAAAGGTTTTGCTCAGTAGTATGGAGTTGATTTTCTGGACACCTTTGCACCAGTTGCAAGGCATGACACAATCAGGTTATTACTTGCAATGGCAACCCAATTTGCATGGAAAATATTTCAGTTGGGCATCAAATCTGCATTCCTAAATGGATGGCTAAATGAGGAGATATATGTTGAAC